TGAGCTCTAGTCTAAACTCCAAGTATCCCCCTGAATAACCCCTATTATGATCGCCTATATAACCCCCTTTAAGGAGTTTAGACCCTAAACCCTAAACCCTACAGCATATAATCCCCCCTATAGCCCCCTGTAAGGAGTTTAGACTGTAGCTCATCTACTTTTTCAAAGGATTTTGTGCACCCGGGTGTCCGGTCAAACTTCGCACCAAGTCGGCAAGTTCGTCTTCGATTCGGGCCTGCGCGGGTGCGGTTTCGGCATGTAGTGGTGTTAGGCTTAGGATTTAGGGGTCAGGGTCTAGGGCTATATAGGGGTCATGATATGGGAACATGGCGGGGTTCTTTAAGGATTTGTTGTTCCCTCGGGATGTTGGTTTGCCTTTCCAGATCCAGGTTGTTTTTTTGCCATGTGTGTGTCTTGTTCTGGTAAGCTCTGACTATTCCTACAAGGATTGCTCTTCAGCCTCCTAGCTGCTGAGGTTTCAGGGTCACGCGTACCCTGCCTTATATGACCCCTTGAGGCTTCCGGTTGATGGCTCTAACCACCCCTAAGTAACCCTAATTCAGGCGGAACCTCAGGGACGTAGTGTAGGCGAACGTGTGACAGGACCAATCTTTGAAAACCCTTCATCCCAAACCTTGCATCCCAAACCCTAAGTCCTAAACCCTAAACCCCAGGACATTGAACCCTAAACCTTGAACCCTAAAACCCACAGAAAGTCCTATGAGGTGGGAGATCCGATATTGGGGACGTTGCCTCGGATGCCGGGAGCTCTGGCAAGCCCTTCACCAGCGCAGTGAAAGCCTACCGGCTTAGGCCCCAGCAGAAAGGATCCCATCCCTTTAAGGGATATAGGGAGTTTAGGGTATAGGGTTTGGGATTTAGAGTTTAGGGGCTTTTGCATACGGATATACGTATGTACACATGGGCATACGGCAGCATACACGGTTGGGTTTAGTATAAGGTTTTGGTCCGCCCCCTCCCACATGGTGGCAGCCATAGCACTGGTGGCAATGCAGTCGCATCAGCACAAGTGGCAGCAGTAAAAGCAACAGTAACAGTAACAGCAACAGCAACAGTAGCAGTAACAGTAACAGTAACAACAACAGTAGCAGAAACAGCAGCAGCAGCAACAGCTGAAAGAATGCTAACTGAAAAACAAGGTCCTGCATGGGTCTTGAAGTGATGGTACTATACCGGGGGGTATTGTCTAATACGACCATACCCTATAGTCACCCTTAAGTATAGAATATGGCTTTGGGTATATTACAATAAGATCCCCATATACCCCATATTCTATCGACTTAAGGGGGAATATAGACCTTAAACAGAATGGGGAGAGGTATTCATTTTCAAAGCGGCCTTGCCTTCATGGTGTTCTGGACCTGAGACAGGCTTCTGATGTCTCCGAGATTTAGGGCTTAGGGCTTAGGGTTAAGAGCCCCTATCCTGTAGCCCATTCCCCCCGTTCCGTGCTAAGCACCAGAGGGGTTTAGGGCTCAGGGTTGCTTCTGAAGGAAAATGAGGAAAAGGGAATATATATATATATATACTATGTAGGAATGATATAGGGATTATATTGGGTTCTGGGTTTAGGGTTTATTGCCTTATTCCCTACTAACCACCAGTGAGGTAAGGTGTGGAACCAGCCGAGACACGTGGCTCTGCTGAAACAAGCGCCGTTGGCGGACTCCATGTGCTAGGCAGCCAAGGAAGGTCACCTCAACTTTGTTAGGGTGCAGGGTTTTGGGGTTTAACTATGTGAATATAACGAGAAGTCACCAGCATTCTCATTCATAGCCACTGTAGGGGGATAATATAGGCTATGACCCAGTCGTTACCTGAACGTTTTCATGCCTAGCTTTTTAAAAGGGGGACAAACGTTCAGGCGGGTTCAGGGGCATTGGGCGGCCGACCTTTTCCATGAACTTACAACTCCGAGCCACAATGTAAACGCCGACTAGAAAGGTGAGCTTCGCCCACATGAGCCTGTCAGGAAAGGCTCGGCTTCAGGGCGCTGGAGCATGCGCTTGGGATCATGTGCACATCACCACAACTCATAGCGCAAGTCGCAGCCAACGCTACGGGTAGTTTCTGAAATTGGGCGACTGACCCCCCAAGATACTGCAATACTCTTTGTAGGGGCTGCCGTAGACCCCATTTTTGGAAGCCCCCCTGCTGCACTATCACAAGAACGCAGGATGGTGCAACCTAAAGCTCTCGTCGCCTCTGCTGCGTCGTGAAGCCCCAGGCAACAAGGACACAGTTCCTGCGCCAGGGGAGAGCCCAAAGGTGCTGCATTCAGTGAGCTATAGTCTAAACTCCTTAAAGGGGGTTATATAGGGGATTATATGGGGAACTACTATACGGGTTATTAAGATGGCTCAAGTTGCTGGGCGCTAGGGAAGGAAAGAATGGACAAGAAAATTTGTGCGACTATGTTGCTGGGGAATATTGGGGAATACCATGGGCAGCCATTCCTCCATACACTACCAACATACCCTACTAACAACCAGTAAGCCAGTCCTGTATGGGGTGCCATATTCTCTCCGCCCCAGAATCAGGAGATCTTCATCTACCTGACGAGAATACCGCGCCCCTCCTCCTGTTGATACTCGAATTCCTGCATGACCCAAACCACGCTAGACCGTGGGAATTAATGGTACCGTAGCATACTAAGATTATAGCACCAACGCAGCTCTGGCAGCTCTGTCGTCAGAGCACTTGAGCCAGTCAAGCTCATGCTTGTGGCCGGGGTGCTAAGTAGGCCAAGATGACCCACCCAAGCCCCACCATTGCTGCCCAAATACTCACCTAAGCTTTGCAGGGATCTGCCCAAAAAAGCAAAGCTGTTCACCTTAAGGTGTTTACATGGAACAGCTTAGTGTGACCTCATAAGTCTAAGAATCCACAAGCACTGCCCACTGACAACCAAGGAGCTGCCGCAAGAAAGTTGAAGTACAAGACCAGGCCAGGGCCCCCGACTGGCGTCTGGCAAAGGTTTGTGGTCAAGGGCCAAAGGTCTCGAAGAGGACCAGACCTATACTTTTGCCCTGACCTGTTTGAAAGGCCGCGATGTAAACCGGAAGGATTTGTTGTGGTGCGCAGGTTCCTATGCTGAACTTTGAGGTCTAGGGTTTAGGGTTTAGGTTTTAGGGTCCTTGGGTCCTGCCCCTACCCCTTAACAGTCTATAATAGGGGTCATGTTAGGGGCTGTAAACAACTGCTTTGTAAATATTATCCAGCTGTTAATGAGTGGGGGGCAGTACCCAAAGTATATGTGCTGTTGTTTCTCAGGGCCAAAATGAACAAGAAAGTAACAATAATTCCAAATACCCCTAAGGTTCAAGTCCACCAGATATGCCAGCAGCAGGCTGGCTAAAACAGCTATCAGGCCAAGGGCACCCCATGCAGCCCACCTTACCGGTGGTTAGGAGGGAATGCGGGAATCTATGTAATCCCCATATGATATACACCCTGTATAACCTATTTTCCTACATAATCCCTATATGACGTATTCCCTTCTTCCCTAACTATTAAATTCCTATGCAATCCCCATATACACACCCCATATAACCTATATAATCCCCATATGATGTATTCCCTTCTTCCTTACCTAATCCCTATGTGATCCCCATATATACACCCCATAGAACCTATATAACCCCCATATGGGTGGTTGTCAAAATTATGGTCCCTTTTTGGGTAACCTAAATATTAGGTGCCGTATCAAAATAGGGATCCAAAAAAGGACCATAATTTTGACCACCAGCCATATGATGTATTCCCTTCTTCCCTACTAACCCTCTCTAAACCCTAAACCCTGAACCCTAAACCCTAAACCCTAAACCCCCTACTAACCCCAAGTAGGCCACATGTAGCGAGCTTTGCACTGCCCATCGGACGTGAGGTCGTACCAAGGTCCACAGGTGATACCTTAGCCCACTTTACCCCTAGGAAGACCCTAAAAACCCCAAAACTCTAAAACCCTAAACCTAGGGTATAATGGAAAATAAAATGGAAACTACTATAATGGGGTTTTGGGGTGTAGGGTTCTAGGATTTTGGGTTTAGGGTTTAGCTTCGGTACTGCCCCCACCCAGTAACAGTCTATATTAGGGGTCCTATTAAGGGCTATATGTAACCATATTATATTTATTATCCAGCTGTTACTGAGGGGGGGCAGTACTGAACCTAAACTCTCAACCCTCAACCCTATCCTTAAAGATGAGGAATCCCATACCCCAAAACTATAAAGGATCCCTAACATGATCCAGGCACATGTGTCAGAGCCGTCCAAG